CTTGTAGACCAGAGTGGTCTCGAACTCACAGAGATCCGCCTGCCTCTGCCTCCCAAGTGCTGGGACTAAAGGTGTGCGCCAGCACCTCTCTATTCTAAACTGCTTCCGTATTGCTCCCTACTTATCCAGGTGGAATGAGTCTAAGACCAGCAGATGAACAGACAGAAGTCTAAAGACTTCAGGAACGGTAAGTGAGCCAGCTGGAGATGGGAATGGAGGAGTGGATATCCCCTCCAAGGGAGCAGCTATATCATTTGGGTTGGCCCCTAGTACTCCTCCTCTAAGCTGGCCCTGGCAAATGATCTAGGCTGACCCTTGACCTCCTAGGGCTCTTCCTGTCCCTTCTGTGGCTAGTTTCTCCCAGCTTCTTGGTGCTTCTGCTTCCCTGGTTTCTCTCTGGTTCTTTCTCACCTCTGGTATAGATAGATGTTTGGGGCCCTGTTTGGGTCACGGGAGAAAGGAGGAAGAGAGCAATGGGCCTAGGGCAGGCTTCTGGATCCTGTAACATGGCAGCCAACCTCTGGCAAGACATTTAACTCCTACCCTAGGTTTGTTCCTTCCTTCCTTTGTTTGTTTTGATGTGTGTGCACCCATGTGAAGGCTGGGGAAGCCTTCTGGTAGAGGCTTCCTGATCTATCACTGTCTACCTTACTCCCTTCAGACAGGGTCTTTCCCTGAATGCGGCCTCAGGCTGCCCAGCAATCCAGTGATCTTTTTACATCATCTATGTTTTCACGTCTCTGTTGCCATTCTCATGTTTGCTCAGCAAGTCCTCTCATTTACTGAGCCATCCTCCTTAGCCATGCATTTTATTTTTGTTTGAGATAGGATCTTCCCATGTAGCCCCGCCTAAACCCACTATGTAAACCAGGCTGGCCTCAAACTACCAATGATCCTCCGAAGTGCTAGGATCACAAGCATATGCCACTATGATAAGTCTTTCTTTCTTTCTAAAATTTATAATTGTCTTCAGATTGAATTGCACTGCTACTACAGTTCCACAATTTGAAACTCAAACAGGTAAAAGAAAGAAACTGGTGGATACAAGTCATTCTTCTTCCTACTTCCATCTTCTAGACAAGCAAGAAATCCCCCCCTTTTTTTTTTGGTTTTTTGAGACAGGGTTTCTCTGTGGCTTTGGAGGCTGTCCTGGAACTAGCTCTTGTAGACCAGGCTGGTCTCGAACGCTCAGAGATCCGCCTGTCTCTGCCTCTCAAGTGCTGGGACTAAAGGCGGGCACCACCAACGCCTGGCCAAATTCCCCTTCTTAATGGCAAACAATATACATTTTCCAGACCTGGTGTGTACGTATTAAGTAGCACATGTGGCCCCTGCCTGGTACACACTATGCACACACTGTGTGTGCACCTCCTGCTTGTTGTTTTTCTCCCTCCTGTAAGACTGGATTCTCACTGGAGTCTACCTCACACACCATTACAAAGTTCCTGGATTTTGGCTTTTGTTCTGTTCTGTTCAGTGTTCCCAGTGATCTAGAGGGAACTGCATTTTCGGACTCTCCACAGTATACTCAGCTCCTCTACGGATGGCTGCTGGGGTTATAGCCAAACTTTTGAGCTTTATTTGTAAAATGGGCAATAGCTGTCCTTTGTGCAGTGGGCATAAGAGCACACAAGTGATGCGTCCGGGTCAAGAGCTCAAAAAGCAGGAGTCAGCATCATTGTCTAACCCACAGCACAGCCCTTTAATTCTTCGGTGTCTCCTCCACAGGCTCTGCCTTCCTGTTCCCTGGTCCTTCTCTGTCACTCATCCCTTCTTACAGTGACATCACACCTGGCTGCAAGCTGTCTGGAGACAAGGTACGTATGCATCCTGCTTAACCTTGGGCTTCTAGAGCCTGGCATAGAGAAGTGGCTGCAACTAAGTGCAGACGGAGCATCTGCCCTAAGCTGAGCAGGGCATGTGCTTCTCTCCACAGAATGAGTGAGAGGACCTCGAGCAGCTGGAGCCCAGGCAGCTGGGTGCTAGCATTGTGCCTGGCCTGGCTGTGGACACGCCTGGCCTCTGCTTCCTTGCAGCCTCCGACAGCCACAGGTTTGGGGAAGGTGGTGAGACTAGAGAAGGGTTTTGTAGGATATCTGGAGAGCCAGAAGGCACCCCAACCCATCCCACAAAGCAGGCAGGTCTCTGGGACAGAGTAAAATTGGCAGAGGTGACTCCTCTGGACATCACCCAGGAAACTGTCCTCTTCTGCCGCCCAGTCCAGAGAAGGCCTGGATAGGCACATTGGTACTATCTTTTCCAGGGGGAAGGTGTTCTGCAGTGAGAGGCCCTCGGGTGGAGGCTTAAGTCTAGTCTCCTGGCCTAATTCTGGGGTTTTCCTTCTGGGATGGCTAAAGCCTCTGTAAGCGGATGATCCTCCCCCACGCATTGTAAGCTCTGGGGCCCTTGCCCTCACCCTGAGAAAGTGGAAGGTGGGGGCTGGTGTGTAACTCCAGCTTTCAAAGAGTTGTGAGTGTGGCCTCAGGGAGGTGGGGTGGAGAGGTAACACAAAGGTTGTTTCTGCTCTTTTCTACCTTACCATTAGCTAACTCTCTCTTTCTCTCTCTCTCTCTCTCTCTCTCTCTCTCTCTCTCTCTCTCTCTCTCCTGTGTGTGTGTGTGTGTGTGTGTGTGTGTGTGTGTGTGTGTGTGTGTGTGTGTGTGTCGAAGGTATGAACTGAGTCCTCGCCTCTATGCTAGGAAACACTACCACTGAGTTGCAGCCCCATACTCTTAAATGACTGTTCCATGACCAAGGAGGAGGGGCTTGGGGATCCGCAGCAGGGTGGGAGGGAGGAGAGCAGGTTTGGAGGCCTGGGTCTCCTGATCTTATACTGCTGGCCCAATCAGTCCTAGTAAAGCAGGGCACCTGTGAGGTGATTGCTGCGCATCGCTGCTGCAACCGGAATCGCATTGAGGAGCGCTCCCAGACCGTCAAATGCTCCTGCCTTTCCGGCCAGGTGGCTGGCACTACAAGGGCAAAGCCCTCCTGCGTGGATGGTGAGTGACTGGTCAGCCAGGTGGGCCAAGAGGCCCCAGAGCAGAGATAAGAAAGTCTGTTTATACCTCGCCATCTGCTGAGGATCTGGTTTCATAGCCGTCTTGAGGCTTACCTTATCGGTCTCAAGTGATGGAGAATCGACTTGGAGGGGAGGGCAGACACGGCCCGCCCTGTGTCATAGACGGAGAAAGCTCTTGTTACGGGTCATACACCTGCCACCTGGTCCATACACACAGGGATGGAGGCATTCCCTCACATCAACTCCTCTGCCCACATGCTCCTCCAGAGCGTCCCCTCTTATTCTCCGCCTACCTTTGCCTTCTCCTTGTGGACACACGTGATCGCTCACTTCACACACCCACTCTTCCTCCTTTCTGCCCACACTTGCGACATCCACCATGCTCACTAGCTCTCGTGGCAGTTTGTACACTCCTGGATGAGGTTTGGATATCAGCTCATATACACTAACGACAGCCACCTCAGACTCAGCTCCCCTGCCTGCTAGCTTGCTGGCCTCCTTTTGGTGGCCACACCTTTCGGTGTGATGCAGTGATGAAGTTGATTGGGATAGTCCCCAGCCCTCAGCCGAAGTATGATGTTCTCAGCCCAGGGTAAGGGGAAGAGAAGGGAAAGGTGGCGATCAAAGCCAAAGTATGTGGGAAGGTACGCATCACTCATGGACCGGCTGTGGCCAGTGCTATGCCCCCAGAGCTTAGAGACACGCCTGCCTCCTGCCCCACAGCCTCCATCGTCCTGCAGAAGTGGTGGTGTCAGATGGAGCCCTGCCTGCTCGGGGAGGAGTGTAAGGTGCTCCCTGACCTGTCGGGGTGGAGCTGCAGCAGTGGACACAAGGTCAAAACCACCAAGGTATGAGGTGGATGCTCCATCCTCCCCTCCTGTCCCCTTCACCTGGGGTAGCACATGGGCCAAGCCAGGGAGGGCCAGGAAAGCAGTGCCATAGGTGGGCATGTGAACCTCAAGAACACATTCCAGACAGTCCTCCTGAGCCTGTCTCCACTCTAGGCACTGCTGCTAAGAGTGTGGTTTGCCCTTGTCAGCAAAACTGATGTCCTGCCTGCCTTGGTTTTCTCCTCTTTGCTTAGCATGTGTTTACCACTAGAAAATATCATGTCTTTAAAAACAAAGTGGAGCAGAGCACAGTGGCACACATCTGTAATCCTAGCACTCAGCAGGAAGATCAGGAGTCCAAGGCTAGTCTGGGCTACCCAATACCTCTTTCAAAAACAAAAACAAACAAACAAAAAAACCACTAAGGGGGGAAAATGGTGAAGTAGGAAATTACCTAGCTCAGAATTTCTCCTAATACCTGAGTTCCAGAAACAGTAACTACTCTGCCCACCACCTCTGCCACAGACTGTCCCCTGTCACTTACACCACTCCTACAGCCATTAGCTCCCTGCAGTTCCTACCTGCCCTCCTCTAGTCAGATTGATCTGTCCTCAGTGACAGGACCCAAGAAGATTATCAGCATGACTCACTGCTTGCCCCACAAAACAAGGGTAATTAAATTTTTATCAAACTCTTTAGCAGTTCCATGTGTGCCTTGGCTAATTGGTTGCATGCTGTGGTTAATTAGCTGCATGTCATTGTCATCATCATCGGTGCAAATGTGTGACAAGCCAAGGCAGCATCTCTGCCCCCAGTCACCACACACAGCAAGAAGGGCTAGCAATTAAAAGTAAAAACAGGCCCTAGGCTTCTAAGAAAAGTGGGGTTTTTCATAGAGCGCACAACACTGGTAGCTAGCTACAGCAAGAGACAGTTTGGGGCTGGAGAGATGGCTCAGTGGTTAAGAACACTTCCTGCTTTTACAGAGGACTCACGTTCAATTCCCAGAACCCACATAGCAGCTCCCAACTGTCTATAACTAAGACCTAAAGAATCAATATCGTTATGTGGCCTCAGTAGGCATCAGGCACACATGTGGTGCACAGACGTTCATACAGATATAATACCCATACACACAAAATGAAAAAAAAAAATAAAAAAAAAGTGGGGCTGGAAGGATGGCTCAGTGGTTAAGAGCAGTGGCTGCTCTTCAGAGGTCCTGAGTTCAATTCCCAGAAACCACATGATGATTCACAACCATCTGTAGTTGGATCTGATGCAGATCAAGTACTCATATACATAAAATTTAAAAAACTGAAAATTAAAAAAAAGAAAGGAAGAAGAGGGTTTGGCTGACTAGAAGGCTGGACAGCCTGTCTGTAGGCAGCAAAGGGAGACAGCCATTCTGAGACTGTTTATTAAGACTTGCAAAGTGGGACCCATCACAGAGCTTGGGACATTGTTACGGGATAGGGTTTGTGGCCTAAAAGGTAGATCATGGCCTTTGAAATTTGTGTAGTGACTCAGAAGCAAACAGTGGTGAGGCTTGTCTGACTAATGTCCACATGGACCACCAGGCCACCACGACCAGCATGGATGGCTTTAGGAGATTGGCAACAATGACCTCTAAGTGACTTTTATGACCTTGTCTTTCTGGCATGCTAAAATGGCTGGCTCCCTGTTGTTTTCTCTAACCTTTTTCTACTCGATCACTTTCTTTTTAGGTCACACGATAACTCTCGGGGGTCGTGGCTTAGGCAGGACAGCCTTGACTGAGCTCTGGACTGAAGAATGGCTTCTGCCCACCCTCCAGCAGACATGAGGACTCACTTACCTTGACATGTAGTCCCATGTGCCCCAAGTCAAATGTGACATCATACTTGCCAGGGCCCTGTTAGTCACACTGCTTAGCAGAAATGCTTAGATCTTCAGCCACATTCTTAGAGACATGTGCTCTCCTACAATCAAAGGTCACACACAATCCTGTCCTTAAGAAATATCTTGTTAAGCTAGGGAGTGGATGACAGACAATTTAAGCAGTTTAAAGTGTGTGGTACCATGGCCTCTGAGCTACCTGTTGTGGGTGTGATGGGGATGGGATGGATAGATCTTCAGCCATCCCCTGATGAGTCACATCAGTACCTTCCCATGAGTCCTGCATCTCTAGCAAGATGCTAAGATGGTCAAGGAGATACTGTCTCCTGATTCCAGTGGGATCTCTTTTAACAGTGCTGGAAAGTAGAGATGAAGTCCAACAGCTCTTCAGCACAGTTCTCCAGAGCAGGGCATGTGACTCACACCTTTTGCTCTCTGTGGATGGATGCACAGATCCTCAGGATCATCCCCACCTGAACTTCACGTGTTTGTTTGTTTCTTGTTTTAATGGACAAGAATACTCAGTCGCCGAGGGATGGGATGCTTTGCCCAAGATCTCACAGGTCAGGCTTCCAAACCATGGATGCTGAGATTCTAGGCTAGGTCTTACATGGCAGTTTTATCAAGAAAGCGGGACCCTGAGAACACTGTCTTGAGAGCAATGACATGTTTCTTGGGAGATGGGACTTGGACCACTGGGGCTTTGATTGAGGCCACTGATCTCCCATCCAAAACAATGCAGAATCCCCACATACTGCAGAGTGGATCTACTTCTCAGTCCCCCAGATCCAACCAGTACCCGCAATAGCCCAGAGGTCACTCAGCACAATTGCAGCTGGAGCACTGTGTGCTGGCATCCTGTTGCTCCTCTGACTCTTCTCTTCTGAGAACTTCAGCCCCTACACAGGTACTTGGAAGGCAGAGTCAGGCCAGAGGACAGCCCAAAGCTGAAGGTCTTTGCAATCAGGCTGGCCTCCTAGGTGGCTTGGGGGTAACATGCTGGCTTACTCTCATCACCAAGGCCTCAGGGAGTGGAGTGTGTTAGAGAACAGCCTGGATGATGCCCCATCCCTGACAAGGCAAACCAATGATAGTTTAGGATGGAGTCTCAGCCTCCCCTATCTCCCTAAGCATTTGAATAAGACTCTGATATCAGCCCATCTCAGGGCATGTTTTTATTATTCCTAAGTGAGATGAGCAGTAATGTTAACTTCAGAAGGCAGGCCTCTAACAATCTCTGCACACAGCGTCCCCATGCAGAGGTCAAAGGCTGTCATGGCCTCCTTCAACACTGAAGGGTGGAGGTCAGAGGATAGATGCAGGGGTTGGCAAACATTTTCTGGAAAAAGTCAGAAAGTGAATATTCTATATTCTGCAGACCACATTAAGTCTCTGTGACATATTCTTTGTTTTGTTTCATTTTGTTTTAAAAACATTTCAGAGCTGCCAATGCCACCTTAGCTCTAGGGTGGAAGAAACACATTGTGACCCATTTCAGGTGTTTGTCACCCCTCCCAGGGGACAGTTGAAGGCCTGGAGTGGCCTCCCAGCCTCCAGGCTTGCCCTCTGTGCCATGGAAACCTGAGCACAGGGCTAGGGCTGGCTTTGTTGTTCTCCTAATGCTCAGAGAGAGATGGGTGAGTGAATTATTTAGGTTACAAATGAGACAGCTTCAGCAGAGCCAGACAATAAGAGCCTGCTTTCCTGGAGGCCAGAATGTAGGTTCTGCAGGCTGATGTGGAGCTCAGTGGGAGAACGCTGAGGTGGGCTCCTGCTTCCCTCCTTCCCAGACACTGTCACAGTCTTGCTTCAGCTGCCCCTCCCCCCACTGTGTCATTGGCATGAGCTGGGGTTGGAGTGGAAAGTATGAAATAATGCCTCACAAACCTTTGAGAGCTGCCATCCTGCACCAGGCTGACTCAGTGTCCCGACTCTGTACTTCCCCTGGTCCCCACTGAAGTCTTCCAAGCCTCCATCCCTCCTGACCTGGCCATGAGTTTATTGGGTGAACTCTGAGGGGGTGTCTGTATAAGGCCAGGAGGGAACCACATAAGACGGTCTGGCAAAGATGAGAAAATGTCCAGCCCTCCCCCCAACTCCAGCTCCCCAAAATTCTATATCCAACTTAGTCCAAACTTGCCTGCATCTTGTAGCTATCCAAAAGACAGTCTAGAAATAAATGGATTTCCTTGGAGCATGGGGTTCCTGGAGTCATTTGTCTCCCTCCTTGGGGAGGGCGTTTCAGATCCTCTGAAATTTGCTGGAACCCCCCATTCCCTCAACTTCTTAGAGAAGCTGACAACTATAAATCACGTGACTGATTTCTGCTGCCCCCCCCCACCCGGCAGTTTCATTAAAGTCTGCGAGTGACATCCTCATTAATGACCCCAGACAGCTCCACAACATTGAGGCTGCAGCTCCCTAAAACCACAGAATTATAGTTGCAAGGGGTTTTAGAAGCCAGGTTAGCTAACACTCATTTGCCAGCCGAGGAGAGAGTAGTTCAGAAAGGTTAAGTAATTTGCCCACAGTCACACAGCAAGCTGATGGCATGTCCTGCCCAGTGATGCAACACAGTGTTCTTTCCACTAAAGTATGTCCCATTTTGTACCCCAGGACAGATGAGAACTTGGAAGGAAGATAGGGTTTTAGCCATGACGACTGTGAGAGTCTCATTCTAGAATCACCCAATGCTGTAAGGGCAAGGAACAGAGGGAAGAAGAATGGGAAACCTGTAGAGGAAACACACAGAGGGAAGGGGGGTTGAACATCACCACTTCAGAACTTCAAACCACAGAACAAAATCAGACAAGACTGATGTCACTTGAAGAAGGACTGATCTTTGTACTTTCTGGAGGAGGCAGCACGGAGCCCTGTCAGTTTTTGGCAACCCAGGCACAGTGGTGCATACCTACAGCCCCGGCACTTAGGAAGCTGAGGCAGGAGGATGGTGAGATAGAAGCCAGCCTGGACCACACAGAGACCCTGCAAAAGAAAAACAACAACAGAAAAAGAATGGTGCACCTCGCAGAACTGTGAGGCCATCTTGGCAATACCAGATTCTTTATGTCCTGTGCAAACTAAAGCACACAGCTACAATTTTGTTTTGTTTTGTTTTGTTTTTCAAGACAGGGTTCCTCTGTGTAGCTGTGACTGTCCTGAAACTCGCTCTGTAGACCAGGCTGGCCTTGAACTCAGAGATCTGCCTGTCTCTGCCTCCAGAGTGCTGGAATTGAAGGCATGCACCACTGACACCAGGCTCATTTTTTGTTCTGCTAAATTATTGTTATTGTATTATATGCTATGCTTATTTGCTTATTATTGGCTACGACTGTCTTTGTGTTATGACAGCATATCTGGGTCATTGTGAAGAGACCACATGACTCTCAAAACAAAAATAAATTCAGCAGAAACTTTTTGCCAGTCTTTGCAATAAGTTTTACAATAGCCTCCAAAATGTGCACACTTGAAATCTAGAAACTAATGGCTGCATTTGATTCCTGTATTTGGGTAGCTTTTCTTTTCCTTTGACCCTGTACCTGTGTCCCCTTAAATCCTTCCCAGTGCCTCTTGTGACATCTAACAACAACAAAAACCACAGACATAAAGTATAAGACAGAATCTAAGAGAAAGACTCGGGACAGATGACACTGCTCAGATACATAGCCCACATCAGTTCAGTTGCTCTTTTCCAAGTTCATGCAACTGCTATTTTTGAACTTCAGGAAGACAACTGCATATGCATCCTGTGTATGCAGTGTGTGTGGCTGGCATTTCTATGTCTGGATTTCAGCATCTCTATGCCCTCAAGCAAGGATGATACTCAGAATGCATAGAAACTAGCTCAGCCTCAACACTGACTAATGAGGCAGATGGCCGGTCCAGGGCACACTGGCTGTTTACAGTGTACATTCCCCCTCCACCCGTGTGGCTGAGATGGGAAGGATCCTTTCTGTTTTCTCCCAGTGTGAGTAGATAAGCTGGTTCCTGATGTCAGTCCTTGGGTTGCGATTTGTCACCAAGTGTGAGTGTGGGGTGGGCACAGGCCCGGCAGCTACTGGTCTCATGTGGCTGTAAATGTGTTTGGAGTAGACATGTGGGCTGAGCATGCAGAGGACCAGAGAACTCCTTTTTAAACCACTCTTGAGGGCATAGATTTATTTTATCCTCTCCACACTACCAAAGCCATTACCATCAAAATCGCTCTTATTTTTATTTATTTATTTATTTGAGACAGGGTTTCTGTGTAGCATGAAACTCCAATTTTTATTTATTTATTTATTTATTTGAGACAGGGTTTCTGTGTAGCATGAAACTCACTTTGTAAACCAGACTGGTCTAGAACTCACAGAGATCTGCCTGTCTCCTGAGTACTGACATTAAAGGCATGCGCCATCACCAACCTACTTACTCTGTTTATTTTTTAAAGACAGGATGTTACTATGTAGTCCAGGCTAACCTTAAACTCATGGCAATCCTCCTGCCTCAGAAACCTCAGGTCAGTGATACTTAGTCATGAAACCCTAAAGATGGGCATGCCCAGAAGTTTCTTCTCATTAGATGCACGAGGTCTACACACACAGTAGAACTTGCTAAGTCCCTGAGAGCAAAAGCAACTCTGGGAGGGAGTGTTCCAGATTCCTGTGTCTCCTATGCCTGCTCAACTTCCCTATGATTTTCCTCCCATAGCTACAGTATCCACCAATATTCTACAACCAGTTTCCCGAGAAACAAAAGAATTCTGACCTATGCTGAGTGTGCTGGTTTGCAACTGTAATCCCAACAGTGGGGGTGGGTACAGGGAAAGGGTGGGCAGGATGATTTCTATGAATTAAAGACTAGCCTGAGCTATGTGCTGAGATTCAATTCAGCCTGTCTCAAAAAAACACAAAGCAAGGGGCTGAAGAGATGGCTCAGCAGTTAAGCGTTCTAGCGGCTCTTGCTGAGGTTCAATTTTCAGCACTTACATGGAGTTCACAAACATCTGTAACTCTACTTCCAGGGGCTCTGATGCCCTCTTCTGGCCTCCACAAGCACCAGGTGTGCATGTGGTGTGCATGCATACATCAAGGCAAAACATTCATACACATAAGAGAAAATAAATATAATATAAAAGTAAACACTTTTTAAATAAAGAAAAACAGCTACATCACTGCTGTTTCATCATGGGAATTCCTAAAGGATAACAGCAAAGGAAAACCTCAGGTGTATCAAAGTGTGGGTAAGACATAGCATTGTTAATTTTGCCGGGAAGGAGAGGCTGGAGGTACCTACACATGCTTTATTTGATGCTTTTCTTAGTTTATTGATTTGTGTGTGGAAGGGGTCACAGGTGGATGTCAAGTTTCCTCCTCTGCTGATCTCCACCTTCTTTGTTTGAAGCAGGGTCTCTGAACCCAGGGCTTACAAACTTTCTAGACTGTCTGGCCAGTGAGTCTCGAGGATCCTCCTGGCTCCATCTTTCCAGTGATGGGGTTAAAGGGTCCTGCTATGCTCTGCTTTGTTAAACCTACATAGGTGCTAGGCATACGGACTCAGGCCTGCCTGATTGCACAGCAAGCATTTTACCACTGAGTCACCTTCCCAGCTCCCCTAAGTATCTATATGTACGCTTTAAAAATATTCTTATTGTTCTCTCTCTCTCTCTCTCTCTCTCTCTCTCTGTGTGTGTGTGTGTGTGTGTGTGTGTGTGTGTGTGTGTAAGGAGGCCGGGAACATTAGATTCCAGGGAGCTGGAGTTACAGGCAGTTGTGAGTCACCCAATGTGGGTGATTAGAACCAAACTCAGGGCCTTTGGAAGAACTGCAGCAGTACAAACTCTGCTGGTGAACCATCTCTCCTGACTACTTTTAAACACACACACACACACACACACACACACACACACACACACACACACACACACACACACTTTTTCTCTCTCTCTTCCTCTTTTCTACTCATGAAAGCAACCAGGGCATTTTCTTACCTGAAAACAACAACCAACAACAAACTATGTGGAATTTCATCCAGACCACAAAAATGAGCAACAATCAGGCTTAAAGCAAAGGTGCATTGAGAACGGCAGTGCCTCTTCCCGGAGTCCTGATGAATCACAGTGACTCTGTGAGCAGGTTACACATACCTTGGCCATTTTGCCCCCATGGGAACCTATGAAGCAAATGTTACTAACATCCTCCTTCGGGTACATCTGCTCAGAGAAGAAAAAGGAGCCATGGGCCCTCACTGGCTGTCACCCTGCCTGGGCGTCTAGAACACAGAAACCGAGGAAATGGACAGTTTCCATTTGAGAGTTAAACCACGAGTTTTGACATAAGCTGGATGTGATGTACCTACCTGTGATCTAGGACTTTGAGGATGCTATGTCGGGGCCCTTGTCAAAAAAGGAGGAAGAAAAAGAGGAGGAGAAGGGAGAAGAGGAGGAGGGAGGAGAGGGGGAGGGAGAAGGACAAGAGGGGACGAAAGACGAGGAAGAGAGAGAAGAGGAGGAGGGAGAAGAAGAGGAGGAGAGGGAAGAGGAGGGGAGGACGAAGAGAAGGAAGGAGAGGAGGAGCAGAAGGGAAAGAGGAGAAGAAAAGGGAAAGGGGGGAGAAGAAGGGAGAGGAGGAGGAAAAGCTGACGATAATCCAGGTAAGACATAAGCTCTCCAACCTGAAGGGCTGCTTGGCTGCCTGGGGTGTGGCAAGGTGGGGAGGAGGCAAATGACAGTATTTTCCAGTTTGGGGCTTTCTTTTCATTCCTAGTAGTTGATGCTGCTGTCCTTATTCTCTCCTACAATCATAGAGGCCCCTTGGCCCCAGGCACTAGATCTGTGTGCCGTTAGAGCGACACTGGAGACCCAGCGTTCCAACAGCCATCCCCAGATCCTGTGGCCTTTCCCCCAAAGCCCCTTGTACAGCTATAGTCACACAAAAGAGAACACCGAGTAGGTAGATGCTTTGGTTAGTGACTGTCACAGAAGCCACAGTTCAAATCCTAGGCCGGGAGAGGAGTAGATTGATGGACTATCAGTTTTGAGGCTTAGATGACCTGGAATTTCTGAGGCGGAAATGAAGACATACTGCTGAGGGGCACTGGGTTGCTAGAGTGGACAAAGGATCCTTGACCGTAATTTCTGTCCTTTGGTTTCCAGGAATTTGGGAATCACTTTCTCTCTGGTGCAGTATTGAGTTTCTTTTTAACTTCTGTTATGTACATGGGTTCCCAAGCCACATAGTTTTGCTCCAGCCATAGGCAGCCCAGTCCCCACAAGATTTGAGAGACAGAAGTTCAGAAGGTGGCCCACTTAGATTTGAGGGGCCTATCCCAGATTCTCAGTGATCCTGGGGCTGATGGGCTCCTAAGACCCACCACACAAGTTCCAGAGGGCTCACCTAGGACAGGGTTGGTTGCCAAGAGGATGAGCAGACTGAGGGGTTTTATTGTTGTTTTGAGGTGAGGAGCAGGGTGTGGGTGGGGGATGTGTGGTTTATGCTTTTGACCAGAAGTCAATGCCAAGACCCAAAGCTTATGGACACCTCAAGATTATATGGCCTGTGAGCTCCAGGGATTCCCCTCTCTCTACCTCTCCGTCACTAGAACTACAAGGGAAGTCTGGGTTTTTGTTTGTTTTTTAATATGGGTGTGGGAGAGGACACCAGATCTCATTCAAGGTGGTTGTGAGCCACCATGTGGTTGCTGGGAATTGAACTCAGGACCTCTGGAGGAATAGTCAGTGCTCTTAACCGCTGAGCCATCTCTCCAGCCTATGAACTGAGTTTTAATTGCTGGAGGGGCCCGGGACAATCTTCAAGGCTAGAGGGTTGTGGTTTTACGCCATTGATGGGGGGGTGGGGTACACGTGGAGAGCTGTGTCATCCTTGCCTCCTCCCCTAAAGAACATTGCCGACTGGTTAGCCATAGACTTGCCAGCGGGATCTGCTTTAGTTGTGATTGTTAAAGAATAAGCTGCTGGTAAGCTGATTGCCCATCAATAATCTTTCCAGAGAGAGAGAGAGAGGGAGAGAGAGAATCTTGAAGTTTACACAGAAACAAATGGCTGCAATTGTAGACTTTAGTCAACTAAAAATGTCAAAGAAGAAATAGGGCCTGGGATGGGATGGATACAGAAGCTAGGCATGAGGTTGAGAGATGTGTGCAAAATTTGGAGAGGGAAATTAGTCTCTGGTGAAGAGAGGGGCACAGCTGTCCTAGGACACGTTCTGTGAAGACTACTGTGCCCTCCTTCCCCCTAGCCTGTGGGGTTAGACACTCACTCCCAGGGATTCTTCTGGCTTTCCTCCCTGTGCGCGCACATGCTTCTCGGCCTCCTGCAGCAGGCATATCTAGGAGGATCTGTGCCGAGCTCGCGCCCTGGACATCTGGACGTGTCGCGCCCCCTGGCGGCAAGACTGACCTGGTGCTGCAATGACAAAAATCCTGTGTGGAGGGGTGCGCTCAATCCGCACCTTTCCCGCATCTCCGCATCCAGAACCGCTCCGCTGAAGAGGTAAACCTTGGTCCCCTCTCAATGCGGGGCCCTGTGGCTGAGGAGAAAGTCTTCAGGCAGGAAGGCCCAGGCCCCTGTGGGTAAAATGGAGAGATGCAAGGGTACGGATAGTCTGTTGATGCACAGTGAAAAGATTTACCTTCTTGATTTTGTTTTTGTTCTAACCAATG